CCAACAGGGTTCAGTGTCAATCACTGGGGCTCACAGAGCCAGACTAAGGCTCCCACAGGGTTCAGTGTCAATCACTGGGGCTCACAGAGCCAGACTACATAATGTTGTGAACCCGGCGACCCAAGTTCAATTCCCAGCCACAGCTAACATCAGTCTTGTCCTGGGCCTCCCTTACAGCCCTGCTAGAGGCTACCTGGGGGAGCTTTATCCGTGTGTGCATCATAGGTGGTGCTGCACTTGCCCCTACAGCCCTGCTAGAGGCTACCTGGGGGAGCTTTGCGTCATGCTGGGACTGGTCGCGAGCCGCCCTCTCTGGGGGGGCTCCCCCCCCCCAGAGCCCTGCGAGGGGGGCCCGGCCCCCCCTCCCGCCACGGAGGGGCCCCCCGTGACCTCCGGCTGCCTGCAGATCTCCAGCGTCATGTGAGACCCCCCCCCCCACATCATCCCCCAACACCCCCCCCCCTCATCCCCCTACCCCCCCTTACCCCCCCTCATCCCCTCATCCCCCTACCCCCCCTTACCCCCCCCTCATCCCTCTACTCCCCACTCACCCCCCTACCCCCCTCATCTTCCCACCCCCCCTCCTCATCTCCCCCCATCCCCTACCCCCCCTCTTCCCACCCCATCTCCCCCATCCCCCTACCCCCCCTCATCCCCCTACCCCCCCTCGACCCCTACCCCCCCTCGACCCCTACCCCCCTCCCCCTTGAGCCACGGGGGACCAGTTAGACCCCCTGGACAGGGATAGCGCTCGTGTGGGGGGTAGGTGATGATGATGCTGATGATGATGCTGATGCTACTGATGATGATGCTGCTACTGATGATGCTGATGATGATGATTATGATGCTGATGATGCTACTGATGATGATGATACTGATGATGATGATTATGATGCTGATGATGCTACTGATGATGATGATACTGATGATGATGATGCTGCTACTGATGATGCTGATGATGATGAGTATGATGCTGATGATGCTACTGATGATGATGATACTGATGATGATGATGATACTGATGATGCTACTGATGATGATGATACTGATGATGATGATTCTGCCGCTCCAGAGAGGCTGAGGCAGAGGTGATGTGTTGCCGGTTCAGCGCCGATGGCTCGCTGGTGGCAATGGGCCTGGCTAACGGCACCATCAAGGTAACCACCACCGTGTGAGCCTGTGTCTCTCTCTCATCATCATCATCACGGTGGCTATGAGATGTTAACTACCTCGCCGGGTCTACAGGAGGTCTGCGTCTCTCTCTCATCATCATCACGGTGGCTATGAGATGTTAACTACCTCGCCTGGTCTACAGGAGGTCTGTGTCTCTCTCTCATCATCATCACGGTGGCTATGAGATGTTGACTACATCGCCTGGTCTACAGGAGGTCTGTGTCTCTCTCTCATCATCATCACGGTGGCTATGAGATGTTAACCACCTCGCCTGGTCTACAGGAGGTCTGTGTCTCTCTCATCATCATCATCACGGTGGCTATGAGATGTTGACTACCTCGCCTGGTCTACAGGAGGTCTGTGTCTCTCTCTCATCATCATCACGGTGGCTATGAGATGTTGACTACCTTGCCTGGTCTACAGGGGGTCTGTGTCTCTCTCTCATCATCATCACGGTGGCTATGAGATGTTGACTACATCGCCTGGTCTACAGGAGGTCTGTGTCTCTCTCTCATCATCACGGTGGCTATGAGATGTTAACTACCTCGCCTGGTCTACAGGAGGTCTGTGTCTCTCATCATCATCATCACGGTGGCTATGAGATGTTAACCACCTCGCCTGGTCTACAGGAGGTCTGTGTCTCTCTCATCATCATCACGGTGGCTATGAGATGTTAACTACCTCGCCTGGTCTACAGGAGGTCTGTGTCTCTCTCTCATCATCACCACGGTGGCTATGAGATGTTAACTACCTCGCCTGGTCTACAGGAGGTCTATGTCTCTCTCATCATCATCATCATCACGGTGGCTATGAGATGTTGACTACCTCGCCTGGTCTACAGGAGGTCTGCGTCTCTCCCCGTGGTGGTCGCTGCGTGGAGGCTAAACAAAAGCTGTTTAGGCATGCGGTGGCTGGGCATGTGGGCTTCATGTCCCAGCCAATGCAGCCTTGCCTGCCGGAGGAGCTCACCGATGGGACTTTGTCCAGATCTTTCAAGGATTTGTGAGCTCACACAATCCAGCCTGCAGGTTAAACAGGACGGATCGTAGGCAGGCCAGCCTAATGTTTCTAACTGGCGAAGATGCTCCATTAGGGGGGCTCCACGTTTCGCAAGCATAGAGAAGGGAGGGAATGACCGTGGCCGAGAAGACCTGAAGCTTCGTGTGGAGCGACAGACCAGGTAGCTTCCACACAGCGTTACGCAACCGATGAAAAGATATTGCCGCTCGACTGATTCGGAGTGAGACCTCTGCTGTTAAACTGGAGCCGGTCATAAGCACACTGCCCAGGTATGGGAAACTCTCCACTCTCTCCACTACTACCCCATCACCGATTGGGAGTTGTGGGGGTGGAGTGTCCGATGGTAGAAAATACCCAGGCAGGTGCTTAGTTTTGGTGAGGCTGATGGTAAGACCCCACCTCTTGGTGGCACGCTCCAGTCTCAGCAGCAGCGTCTCCAACTCCTCTCAGTGAGCAGCAATCACCAGATCATCGGCATACATAACGTGGTTGACCAATAGGGAGCCAGAGACAAACATAGACACACACAGACACACACACAGACATATACACACACACAGACACACACACAGATACATAGACACACACACACAGACACACACATAGACACACACACAGACATACACACAGACACACAGACATACACACTAATACACCAACAACAACAACCGCCATTCGCCACTAAGTGGCGGTGACGTCACCACGACGCTTGTGCCAGGCCATGTGCACCTTGAGGCCACGTGAAGTGTCGAACGCCCGCTGGCAGGAGGTCACGGGGCCACGGGTCGACATACACACACACACAGACATCCATAGATGCATAGACACACACAGACACACACACATGATGATGGATGGTGATGTTGATGATGGATGTTGATGGTGATGTTGATGATGATGATGGTGATGTTGATGATGATGTTGATGATGATGTTGATGATGGATGTTGATGGTGATGATGATGGTGATGATGATGGATGTTGATGGTGATGTTGATGATGATGATGGTGATGTTGATGATGATGTTGATGATGATGTTGATGATGATGTTGATGATGATGGATGTTGATGGTGATGATGATGATGATGTTGATGATGATGTTGATGATGATGTTGATGATGATGTTGATGATGATGGATGTTGATGGTGATGATGATGGATGCGTTTCTCGTGGTTGTCTGGCAGATCCACGAGCTGCGTGGATGGACGTGCGTCCACGTGCTGAGAGACGCGGACACGCTGAGACACGGAGACACGCGGGGACACGCCGAGACACGGGGACACGAGCTGAGACACGGAGACACGCAGGGACACGCTGAGACACCGAGACACGCTGAGACACCGAGACACGCTGAGACACCGAGACACGCTGAGACACCGAGACACGCGCTGAGACACGGCGTGCCCGTCACCTCGCTCGTCTTTCTGCCGCAGTCGGATACCGAGAGAGACATCCGCCTCGTAGCCACGTGTACGCAGAGACACGCGGAGACACGGAGACACACACAGAGACACACAGACACACACAGAGACACACACATAGAAACACAGACACACACAGACACACAGACACACACAGAGACACACAAAGACTCACAGAGACACACACAGACACACACAGAGACTCACAGAGACCCACAGACACTGAGACACACACAGACCCACAGAGACACACAGAGACCCACAGAGACACACAGTGACACACTGAGACACGCGGAGACACACTGAGACACACTGAGACACACGGAGACACACAGAGACACACGGGAAGACGTGTGTCCCTGTGTGTGTGACCTCGTATCCCCGTGTCCATGACCCTGTCCTCGTGTCCCCGTATGTCCCCGCGTGTCCCCGTGTGTCCCCGTGTGTCTCTGTGTGTCCCCGTGTCCCTGTGTGTCTCTGTGTGTCCCTGTGTGTCCCCGTGTCCCTGTGTGTCTCTGTGTGTCCCCGTGTCCCTGTGTGTCCCCGTGTGTCCCCGCGTGTCCCCGTATGTCCCCGTGTGTCCCCGTGTGTCCCTGTGTGTCCCGTATGTCCCCGTGTGTCCCCGTATGTCCCCGCGTGTCCCTGTGTGTCTGTGTGTCCCTGTGTGTCCCCGTATGTCCCCGCGTGTCCCTGTGTGTCTGTGTGTCCCTGTGTGTCCCGTATGTCCCCGCGTGTCCCCGTGTGTCCCCGTGCCCCCCCCCCCCCCCACAGACGCGAGTGGGCGCGTGTCCCTGTGGGCCGTGTCCCTGCGCTGGGCCTGCCCGCTGGCGCGTGAGGCCACCCACACACTGTGCGCCGCCGCCTCCCCGTCCGGCGCGTGGGTCGCCACCGGCGGCAGTGACGGGGCGCTGCGCATCTACGACGTGAAGACGCGCTCGCTCGCACTCACCTGCTCGCCCAGGTGAGGCGGTGGGTGGGTCACCCAGGTGAGGCGGTGGGTGGGTCACCCAGGTGAGGCGGTGAGTGGGTCACCCAGGTGAGGCGGTGAGTGTGGGTCACCCAGGTGAGGCGGTGAGTGGGTCATCCAGGTGAGGCGGTGAGTGTGGGTCACCCACGCTCACCTGCTCGCACTCACCTGCTCGCGCTCACCTGCTCGCCCAGGTGAGGCGGTGGGTGAGTCACCCACGCTCGCTCGCACTCACCTGCTCGCGCTCACCTGCTCGCCCAGGTGAGGCGGTGGGTGAGTCACCCACGCTCGCTCGCACTCACCTGCTCGCCCAGGTGAGGCGGTGAGTGGGTCACCTACACTCACCCACACTGACCTGCTCACCCAGGTGAGGGGGTGGGTGGGTCACCCACACACTCACCTGCTCACCCAGGTGAGGCGGTGAGTGGGTCACCCAGGTGAGGCGGTGAGTGGGTCACCCACACTCACCTTCTCGCCCAGATGAGGCGGTGAGTGGGTCACCCAGGTGAGGCGGTGAGTGGGTCACCCAGGTGAGGCGGTGAGTGGGTCACCCAGGTGAGGGGGTGAGTGTGGGTCACCCACACTCACCTGCTCGCCGTGTTGAGTCTATGGGCAGTGTTGAGTCTATGGGTAGTGTTGAGTCTATGGTGCAGTGTTGAGTCTATGGTGCAGTGTTGAGTCTATGGTGCAGTGTTGAGTCTATGGTGCAGTGTTGAGTCTATGGGCAGTGTTGAGTCTATGGGTAGTGTTGAGTCTATGGTGCAGTGTTGAGTCTATGGTGCAGTGTTGAGTCTATGGGTAGTGTTGAGTCTATGGTGCAGTGTTGAGTCTATGGTGCAGTGTTGAGTCTATGGTGCAGTGTTGAGTCTATGGTGCAGTGTTGAGTCTATGGGCAGTGTTGAGTCTATGGTGCAGTGTTGAGTCTATGGGCAGTGTTGAGTCTATGGTGCAGTGTTGAGTCTATGGGCAGTGTTGAGTCTATGGGCAGTGTTGAGTCTATGGGTAGTGTTGAGTCTATGGTGCAGTGTTGAGTCTATGGGTAGTGTTGAGTCTATGGGCAGTGTTGAGTCTATGGTGCAGTGTTGAGTCTATGGTGCAGTGTTGAGTCTATGGGTAGTGTTGAGTCTATGGTGCAGTGTTGAGTCTATGGTGCAGTGTTGAGTCTATGGGCAGTGTTGAGTCTATGGGTAGTGTTGAGTCTATGGTGCAGTGTTGAGTCTATGGGGCAGTGTTGAGTCTATGGGCAGTGTTGAGTCTATGGGTAGTGTTGAGTCTATGGGTAGTGTTGAGTCTATGGGGCAGTGTTGAGTCTATGGGTAGTGTTGAGTCTATGGTGCAGTGTTGAGTCTATGGTGCAGTGTTGAGTCTATGGGGCAGTGTTGAGTCTATGGTGCAGTGTTGAGTCTATATGGGCAGTGTTGAGTCTATGGGCAGTGTTGAGTCTATGGGTAGTGTTGAGTCTATGGGTAGTGTTGAGTCTATGGGGCAGTGTTGAGTCTATGGGTAGTGTTGAGTCTATGGTGCAGTGTTGAGTCTATGGTGCAGTGTTGAGTCTATGGGGCAGTGTTGAGTCTATGGGCAGTGTTGAGTCTATGGGCAGTGCTGAGTCTATGGTGCAGTGTTGAGTCTATGGGTAGTGTTGAGTCTATGGGGCAGTGTTGAGTCTATGGGCAGTGTTGAGTCTATGGAGCAGTGCTGAGTCTATGGTGCAGTGTTGAGTCTATGGGCAGTGTTGAGTCTATGGGGCAGTGTTGAGTCTATGGGCAGTGTTGAGTCTATGGTGCAGTGTTGAGTCTATGGGCAGTGTTGAGTCTATGGTGCAGTGTTGAGTCTATGGGTAGTGTTGAGTCTATGGTGCAGTGTTGAGTCTATGGTGCAGTGTTGAGTCTATGGGCAGTGTTGAGTCTATGGGCAGTGTTGAGTCTATGGTGCAGTGTTGAGTCTATGGGCAGTGTTGAGTCTATGGTGCAGTGTTGAGTCTATGGGTAGTGTTGAGTCTATGGTGCAGTGTTGAGTCTATGGTGCAGTGTTGAGTCTATGGGCAGTGTTGAGTCTATGGGCAGTGTTGAGTCTATGGTGCAGTGTTGAGTCTGTGGGCAGTGTTGAGTCTATGGGTAGTGTTGAGTCTGTGGGCAGTGTTGAGTCTATGGTGCAGTGTTGAGTCTGTGGGAGTGTTGAGTCTATGGTGCAGTGTTGAGTCTATGGGCAGTGTTGAGTCTATGGTGCAGTGTTGAGTCTATGGGCAGTGTTGAGTCTATGGTGCCAGTGTTGAGTCTATGGGCAGTGTTGAGTCTATGGTGCAGTGCTGAGTCTATGGTGCAGTGTTGAGTCTATGGGGCAGTGTTGAGTCTATGGGCAGTGTTGAGTCTATGGGCAGTGAGTCTATGGGCAGTGTTGAGTGTATGGGCAGTGTTGAGTCTATGGTGCAGTGTTGAGTCTATGGGCAGTGTTGAGTTCCATGGTGCAGCGTAGAGTCTATGGTGCAGTGCTGAGTCTATGGTGAATCTAGTCTAGTGCTAATTAGTGCTAGTCAGTGCTAGTTAGTGCTCTAGTTAGTGCTAGTTAGTGCTGGTTAGTGCTAGTTAGTGCTAGTTAGTGCTAGTTAGTGCTGGTTAGTGCTGGTCTATGATGATGACGTCACTAATGACCGGTTGTGGTCCTCAGCGCTTCGTCCCACGTCATGGACGGCCACAGCTCACGAATCTTCGCGGTGCAGTGGCACCCAGAGTCTGAGAACTTCCTCCTGTCCGGCGGGTGGGACAACACCGTGCAGGTGGGTGGGTGGGTGAGTGGGTGGGTGAGTGGGTGGGTGGGTGAGTGAGTGAGTGGGTGGGTGAGTGAGTGAGTGGGTGGGTGAGTGAGTGGGTGGGTGAGTGGGTGAGTGAGTGGGTGGGTGGGTGAGTGAGTGGGTGAGTGGGTGGGTGGGTGAGTGAGTGAGTGAGTGGGTGAGTGAGTGAGTGGGTGGGTGAGTGAGTGGGTGAGTGGGTGAGTGAGTGGGTGGGTGGGTGGGTGAGTGGGTGGGTGAGTGGGTGAGTGGGTGGGTGGGTGAGTGGGTGGGTGAGTGAGTGGGTGAGTAGTGAGTGGGTGAGTGGGTGAGTGGCTGGGTGAGTGAGTGGGTGGGTGGGTGGGTGAGTGGGTGGGTGAGTGGGTGGGTGGGTGGGTGGGTGGGTGGGTGAGTGGGTGAGTGGGTGAGTGGGTGAGTGAGTGGGTGGGTGGGTGAGTGAGTGGCTGGGTGGGTGAGTGAGTGGGTGGGTGGCTGGGTGAGTGGGTGGGTGAGTGGGTGAGTGGGTGGGTGAGTGAGTGGGTGGGAGAGTGAGTGGGTGGGTGAGTGGGTGAGTGGCTGGGTGAGTGAGTGGGTGGGTGAGTGAGTGGGTGGGTGGGTGAGTGGGTGGGTGGGTGAGTGAGTGAGTGGGTGAGTGGGTGAGTGGGTGGGTGAGTGAGTGGGTAGGTGGGTGGGTGAGTGAGTGGGTGGGTGGGTGAGTGGGTGAGTGAGTGAGTGAGTGGGTGGGTGGGTGGGTGAGTGGGTGGGTGGGTGAGTGGGTGAGTGAGTGGGTGAGTGGGTGGGTGAGTGGGTGAGTGGGTGGGTGGGTGAGTGGTTGTTGTGTAGTTTGTTGTTGTTGTGTAGTTTGTTGTTGTTCAACGTACACACTACACACACTACCGCTATACACTACACTATACACTACACTATATTACTATACACTACACTATACACTACACTACACACTACACTACACACTACACAGGCGCATACGTATCGTTGTTGTTGCTGTTGCTGCTCAGCGAGTTTACCCTCCTCATGTTTGTCTCGCCAGTTCTGGGACCGCAGAATGCCGCACTCAGTCAGGTACGGACCCCGTGAGACGCAACAACAACAACACAACAACACAACAACAACACAACAACAACACAACAAACACAACAACAACACAACAACAACACAAGAAAACAACAGCAACAACAACACAACAACAACACAACAACACAACAAAACAACACAACAACAGCAACACAACAACAACACAACAACACCACCACAACAACAACACAACAACAACACAATAACAACACAACAACAACACAACAACCGCCATTCGCCACTAAGTGGCGGTGACGTCACCACGACGCTTGTGCCAGGCTAGGTGCACCTTGAGGCTACCACGTGAAGTGTCGAACGGCCGCTGGCAGGAGGTCACGGGGCAGACCCAGCAGGTGCCACGGGTCGACTGACTGAGACGACTGGCTGATGCACCACCTGTGCCCCCTACTGTGCCAACTTGCTGTGCTTTATCCACCCGGCACTCCGCTCGTTGTTGTGAGCGTCGCTCCTCCGCCCTCCGTTGTTGTTGGAGGGCGACTGCCTCCAACTGCCCAGTAGCAGCGTCCTTCACGAGCCTCCTCCACAGAGGCCGATCTTGACACCGCTGGTACCGGTCATCGGCAAGTCCACTCAGCTCCACGTCCTCCTGTACCACATCACTCCATCTCTTCTCTAGCCCGTGCCGCGCCCGTTTAGCCCCCTCGATCCGGCCGAACAAAAGCTGTTTAGCTATGTGGTGGCTGGGCATGCGGGCTACATGACCCAGCCAACGCACCCTTGCCTGCCGGAGGAGCTCACCTTCACGAGCCTCCACAGAGGAGACGCTCACCCGGCGAGACCCTCACCCAGCGAGACGCTCACCCAGCGAGACGCTCACCCAGTGGAGTCAACATTGCCACTGGGGAGACAAAGGCGGCCGGGCGTGGTGGTGCTGGCCACCCACCCCCTCTGTGTGTAGCCACAGTGCCGGTAGCCTTCATAGGTGCTCGCTAATAGCACTTGCCCCTGCAGCCCTGCTAGAGGCTACCTGGGGGAGCTTTGTCTGTGTGTGCATCATAGGTGCTGCTCGTCGCCACTAGCACCACTTGCCCCTGCAGCCCTGCTAGAGGCTACCTGGGGGAGCTTTGTCTGTGTGTGCATCATAGGTGGTGCTACTCGCTACTAGCAGCACTTGCCCCTGCCCCCTTGCCGCAGGTCTGTTGAGAGGCTACACGGGCCGCCTTTGTCTTTGCCAGGAGCCTGTACGGGCCCCACGTGTGCGGCGAGTCGCTGCACTTCGATTCGAGCGGCTCCCGGATCCTGAGCGGCTCCTGGAGGAAGAGGCAGGCGCTGCAGGTGAGTACACAGGCACAGCTGCCCCAGGTAGCCTCAGCAGGGCTGCAGGGGCAAGTGCTGCTAGTAGCGAGTAGCGCCACCTATGATGCACACACAAAGCTCCCCCAGGTAGCCTCAGCAGGGCTGCAGGGGCAAGTGCTGCTAGTAGCGAGTAGCACCACCTATGATGCACACAGACAAAGCTCCCCCAGGTAGCCTCTAGCAGGGCTGTAGGGGCAAGTGCTGCTAGTAGCAGGCCCCAGACGACCCCCGTTAGGGCCCACCCCCCTCAGCCCCCCCCCCCCCGTCGCCCCCCCCCCCCGTGCCCCACCCCCCTCAGCCCCCCCCCACTCCCTCAGGGACCCCCACCCCCTCACCCCCCCCACCCCCTCAGCCCCCCCCCCTTTGCCCCCCCCCCTTTGCCCCCCGCCCCCCCCAGGTTTGGGACTCCGGCTCCGGGTCTCTCATCAGAGACATCCCCCCTGAGGCTGACGGGGAGCGCAGTTCGGTGAGTGGTGGTGGTGGTGGTTGTGGTGTATGTTGTTGTGGTGGTGGTTGTGGTGGTTGTGGTTGTTGTTGTAGTAGTTGTTGTGGTGGTTGTAGTTGTGGTGGTTGTGGTGGTGTAGGTTGTTGTAGTTGTGGTGGTTGTGGTGGTGGTTGTAGGTTGTGGTAGAAGTTGTAGTAGTTGTTGTGGTGGTGTAGGTTGTTGTAGTTGTTGTGGTGGTGTAGTTGTTGTGGTGCTGGTGTAGTTGTTGTGGTGGTTGTTGTGTAGTTGTTGTAGTTGTTGTTATGGTGGTTGTGTAGGTGTAGGTTGTTGTAGTTGTGGTGTATTAGTTGTTGTGGTGGTGGTAGTTGTTGTTGTGGTTGTTGTGTAGGTGTACGCGTGCCGTTGGCTGGGTGACGGCCTGGCGGTGTCTGGAGGCTGTGACCCCAACGCCTGCCGCGTGGTGCACACGCAGAGCAGCCTCATGGTGATGGGCACCAGCATCACTCACCAACATCAACACCAACATCAACATCACCACCACCACCATCAACACCAACATCATCAACATCACCACCACCATCAACACCAACATCACCACCAGCATCACTCACCAACATCAACACCAACATCAACATCATCAACATCAACACCAACATCATCACCAACAACATCAACACCATCATCGCCAACATCATCAACATCACCACCAACACCAACATCATCACCAACATCAACACCATCATCGCCATCATCATCAACATCACCACCAACACCATCAACACCAACATCATCACCACCACCAACACCACCATCACCACCAACATCACAATCACCATCACCACCATCATCATCACCTTCAACCACTACCACCATCCGTGCTCCTGATGCTGCTACTGATGATGATGCTACTGCTGATGATGCTAATGCTGCTACTGATGATGTTGCTACTGCTGATGATGTCGATGATGCTACTGATGATGCTACTGATGTTGCTGCTGCTGCTACTGCTGCTGCTGCCCACCGCAGACCACGGGGTCAGTGTCCGCCCTGCCAGGAGGCGTCTACTGCATCGACGTGACCTCCTCCTCCTCCTCCACCACCTCCTCCTCGACTCACCTCATCGCCGTCGCCTCCTCCACGAGCCTCTACCTCCTCACACACTCGCGGCAAGCTGCCTAAGCCGGCCAGAGTCGTGGCCGCCGCCGTTAGCCCCACATCATCATCGCCATCGTCACTTAACATCATCATCACTTAACATCATCATCATCACCATCACCACAATCATCACTTAACATCATCATCATCACCACTTAACATCATCACCACCATCATCATCGCCACCATCATCACCACCATCATCACCGCCATCACCATCATCACCACCACCATCATCATCACCACCATCATCACTTAACATCAACACCACCACCATCATCACCGCCATCACCATCATCACCACCACCATCATCATCACCACCATCATCACTTAACATCAACACCACCACCATCATCATCACTTAACATCATCACCACCATCATCATTACCATCATCACTTAACATCATCATCACCATTACCATCATCACCATCATCACCATCATCATCACTTAACATCATCACCATCACCACCATCATCATCACCACCATCATCATCATCGCCATCACCACCACCATCATCAGTACCACCATCATCATCACCATCATCAGTACCACCATCATCATCACCATCATCACCACCATTATCACCACCACCATCATCATCATCATCATCGCCATCATCAGCATCACCACGGTGGCTAAGAGATTTTAACTACCTCGCCTGGACTACCGGAGGGTCTCTGTGGGTCTCTATGAGTATGGGTTTCTGTGGGTCTCTATGGGTCTCTGTGGGTCTCTATGAGTATGGGTCTCTGTGGGTCTCTATGAGTATGGGTCTCTGTGGGTCTCTGTGGGTCTCTATGAGTATGGGTCTCTGTGGGTCTCTATGAGTATGGGTCTCTGTGGGTCTCTGAGTCTGTAATGTCCACGTGATGGTGATAATAAACACGAGTTTAGTTTTAGTGTGTGTCTCTGTGAGTCTGTATGAGTGATGGTCTCTATGGGTCTCTGTGAGTCTGTATGAGTGATGGTCTCTATGGGTCACTGTGTGTCTCTGAGTCTGTATGAGTATGTGTCTCTGTGTGTGTGTGTGTGTCTCTGCGAGTATGGGTCTCTGTGTGTCTGTGTCTGTGTGTCTCTGCGTTTCTGTGTGGGTCTCTGTGTGTCTCTGTGTCTGTGTGTGTCTCTGTGGGTCTCTGTGTGTCTCTGTGTCTGTGTGGGTCTCTGTGTGTCTCTGCGTGTCTCTGTGTGTGTGTGGGTCTCTGTGTGTGTGTGTGTCTCTGTGGGTCTCTGTGTCTGTGTGTCTCTGTGTCTGTGTGGGTCTCTGTGTGGGTCTCTACGTGTTCTAGACACACGTGTGTAGAGTGTTGGCTGCTGCTGGGCACGTCAGCGGGGATCTTGGAGCCGGCACCACCAACAACAACCACAAACAACAACAAGTTGAATGAGTTCAGAAAGTTTAGTGTCCCCAGCTGGTCTGACCCACCCCACCGGCACGGCACCACCACAGCGTGGCCCTGAGCCTCATGGTGTTGGTGGTGATGGTGGTGGTAATGGCGGTGGTGGTGGTAATGGCGGTGGTGGCGGTGGCGATGGTGGTGGTGGTGATGGTGGTGGTAGTAATGGCGGTGGTGGCGGTGGCGATGGTGGCGATGGTGGCGATGGTGGTGGCGATGGTGGTGGTGGTGGTGATGGTGGTGATGGTGGTGATGGTAGTAATGGCGGTGGTGGTAGTAATGGCGGTGGTGGCGATGGTGGCGATGGTGGTGGTGGTGGTGATGGTGGTGGTAGTAATGGCGGTGGTGGCGGTGGCGATGGTGGCGATGGTGGTGGTGGTGGCGATGGTGGTGGTGGTGTCGTTACACTGTTGTCCCTCCAGGATTGTGGGTAATTAAAATTGGGGTGGCGTCACTGGAGGCTCATGGGAAATCAGAAGTGTGTGTGTGGGGGGGGGCGGCAGTAGAGGCTCATGGGAAATCAGAAGCGTGTGGGGGGGGGGGGGTGGAGGCTCATGGGAAATCAGAAGTGTGGGGGGGGGCGGCAGTGGAGGCTCATGGGAAATCAGAAGCGTGTGGGGGGGGGGTGGCGGCGGTGGAGGCTCATGGGAAATCAGAAGTGTGGGGGGGGGCGGCAGTGGAGGCTCATGGGAAATCAGAAGTGTGTGGGGGGGGAGGCCAGTGGAGGCTCATGGGAGTGTGGGGGGGGGGGCAGTGGAGGCTCATGGGAGTGTGGGGGGGGGGGGCAATGGAGGCTCATGGGAAATCAGAAGGGGGGGGGCAGTGGAGGCTCATGGGAGTGTGGGGGGGGGCAGTGGAGGCTCATGAGAGTGTGGGGGGGGGGGGCAATGGAGGCTCATGGGAAATCAGAAGGGGGGGGGCAGTGGAGGCTCATGGGAGTGTGGGGGGGGGGGCAGTGGAGGCTCATGGGAAATCAGAAGGTGGGGGGGCGGCAGTGGAGGCTCATGGGAGTGTGGGGGGGGCAGTGGAGGCTCATGGGAAATCAGAAGCGTGTGGGGGGGGCGGGAGGCTCATTGGAGTGGGGGGGGCGGCAGTGGAGGCTCATTGGAGTGTGAGTGTGGGGGGGGGGGCGGCAGTAGTGGAGGCTCATGGGAGTGCGGGTGGGGGCTGTGGGCGCAGCAGGAAGTGGTGGTCCCCGCGTGCCCAGCGAGCCGCGTGGCCCGCGGGGGCCTCCTCCGTCATGGTTCGCTCCGTGAAGCTCACGCGGCCATCCACCCCCACCAGCAGCACCGAGTTGGTCCGTGTTCCGTACGTAGGGGTACGTACACACACAGCCGCGTACTGCGGCATGAGTTGCCTCATGTGCAGGTCTCCCTGAGCCTCCAGCAAGGGGTCGGGCAGGACCCTGCACACAGCAGCAGCAGCAGCATCATCAGCAGCAGCAGCAGCATCATCATCAGCATCATCAGCAGTGTCATCAGCAGTGTCATCAGCAGCAGCGTCATCATCAGCATCATCAGCAGTGTCATCAGCAGCAGCATCATCATCAGCATCATCATCAGCATCATCAGCAGTGTCATCAGCAGCAGCGTCATCATCAGCAGCAGCGTCATTATCATCAGCGTCATCAACAGCAGCGTCATCATTATCATCAGCGTCATCAGCATCATCATCATCAGCA